TTTCTTTCTTTCTTTCTTTCTTTCTTTCTTTCTTTCTTTCTTTCTTTCTTTCTTTCTTTCTTTCTTTCTTTCTTTCTTTCTTTCTTTCTGTGGGAATGTACATAAAAACACTCAGGAATATATAATCATTTAAACAACCAAAGGGCATATTCTGCAAGCCTGCCTCCTGGCCACCAGCACTCAGTCTTTCTCTTTTCATGAGTCTAGAGTCCTCAGCTGCTCCCTCTCTCCATGTACTCATCCCTGCCTCCATCTCTGGTGTTGCTGCTTCTCTGGATAGGGACCCACATTCCACTCATGCTCTTCTCCCTTGTCATAGGGTCCTCTGTTTCTGGACTGTAAGATTAACTACACCCCCCATTCTCTGAATTGAGTTTAACTGGACTGATAGATCCTCTTGGAAGCTACTGTTTTGATTGGACCTTTTTCTATTTTGTGAAGATATCATAAAGAGACTTATTACTGATATAATTTGTCTTCAGCCATCCACTAATTGCAGAGACAAAATTTAACACATTATGTTTGGAGCAAACCAGTTCATGCATGAACTGGAACCCTAGTAGTAGTGCTTTTTTTTTTTTTTTTTTTTTTAAGTATCAGTGCTTTTTGACTTACCCTTGTATATATAGATCTGCTTCACTGGCTTTGCTCATCTAGAGAATGCAGACTAAGACAAAAAGTTAAATTTAATTTCCTGGGAGTTATTGCTTATCTGGAATGTTTTAATTGTCTATTAGGTTAAATTTGTGTCTCAAATTAAGCTATGCTTTCTTTGTATGAATGTAGAAATGTTACATTCCCAATCATATGATAGCTCTTATGAGAGATCTTTTATACATTGAGTAGTCAGCAAATATATACTTCAATTTTCTTGATATTTCACTCTTTGGTTTTACCATCACTCATTAGATACTGAACCTGCTAGATCGATGTTTAGTGATCACAACTCAAACCCAAGGAATAATCTGAACATAGAAAGATATCATTGCAAGGAGATTTACAAATGGCTGGCATGTATAGCACATTTTATATGAGTATAAAGTTTTTAAAAATGGAGCTTATTGTTCACCTGGGAGCCATCAAGGCAAGCTGTCAAGTCCCTTCAGGACAAACCCCTTTCAAGACTGTGACTTAAAGGGAACACACGAGCAGGCTTGTAAGCTCACTGGTGACCGTGTTGGTCTACTTGTTAGTGGAAGTGGGAGAAAGGCAGTAATGAAGACTTGGGCTGAGTTTGAACATGGTCCATGGACTCCTGTCAACCTTGATATTAGAGAGAGAAGAGGAAGGGGTGGTTGGTCCAAAGTTTTGAGAGACTTGGGAACTCCTGAGCCCATGAACACTGACCTAGTCTCTGGGGGCTACAGCTGAGAATGAAGTGTCCAGCTGATATGAATTGAGGGGGAGGTGTGCAAAAACACTCAAGCTTGCAGATAGTACTCTTTTGACCTAGCTTGGATGGCTTGATAATCAGAACTTAACTAAAGGAAAATAAAGAAATTTTGTACAGAAAGGAAGTATAAATTGCTGCAGTTTGATGATCTTCACTTTTACTTATGGATATGTTGTTGTTGTTATGTGCTGTGGAGTTGGTTCCGACTCATAGTGACCCTGAACAGGGTTTCCGAGGCTGTAAATCTTTACGGGAGCAGAAAGCCTCATTTTTCTCCCGCAGAACAGCTGGTAGTTTCAAACTGCTGACCCTGAGGCTCGCAGCCCGATTCGTAACCACTATGCTACCAGAGCTCCTTAGTAACTCAAAATACCAACTGAGAGGGAAGAAGCCTTCAAATCAAAGACCAAGTCTGTCTCCTCAGTACACAGGATTGATAGGGATGGGCAGCTTAGATGTTGGCTATCTGAAATGGGCATTTAAAGGCACAAAGTGTCTGGCTTACAAGATTTTAAGAGGGAGTTTCATTTCAGAGCAAGTGGGGGAATGTGGAGTCTCCACAGAATAGTTTTCATCTTGTCTAAATGGATCTGATGAAAGGAGATGGGGATAGGATTTTTTTTTTTTAATCCAATAGTTAGTAATTGTTATCATGACTAATCACGATTGTCACAACTGAAAAGTTATAAGTTATGTAACAAAAAGGAGGAGCAGTTAATTTTGCATTCCAGGAACAGAGGACCCTAGGACTATAAAGAGGGAAGAACAGGAATGGAACATTAGATCCTAACCAGAGAAGTAGAGACACTATTGACCGAGACAGAGGTGATAGGGTGGCGAGATAGAGCAGCTGAGGACTCTAGACTCAAGGAAAGAGAAAGGCTGAGTATTGGTAGGCAGGAGGCTAGCTTATAAAATGTGCCCTTAAGTTGTTTAAGGGATTGTATATTCCTGTGTGTTGTTTTGTGTACATCAAGAGAGAAAAGGGAAGGAATAGAGGCAAATAATATTGGCTGATGGTGCATGGAGGGGATTGTAATCATTGCAATGAAGCAAAGTGTGGTTGGTTGAGTGTAAAACTGGCTTTCTGCAATGTAAATTATCATTTAATTAATAATAAAAGCTTTTCTTTAAAAAAGGGAGCTTATATCACACATTCAGATGTATCAATGGAAAGATCATTTTATTGAATTAACTATGAAAATAAGGTTTCCTTCTCAAGACAGTAGAGCATAAAAATCAAATTAAGTATTTTTTATTTTCTTATGGAGTAAAGAAGCTAGGAATTGCTTGACACACTCAGATGCAAACAAAATGGTTAGTTACAGATTTATTTTATCTAATAAGCTCACTTCCACTAGGGACCTTGATATGATCTTACAACTCCAGTAAAAATAGGCAGTAGAAACATGCATTTAATTTTTGAAGTAAAAATGATTTTTTAATTACAAAACTGATATGTATCTTTAAGTCTTATGCTGAAAAACTATCTGCTTAAAACACTGATTTGCAAAGTGGTTTACAAATTAATTACCCCCTTTCTATTATACTGCACATTTAAATATTAAATTAGAGTCAATTGGCATTATTTTATTTTTACAAATATATTCACTGAGTTCATTGGAAAGGCTTTGATGTCCTTATTTACAAAATAGAAAAATTGTGAAATGGATAGATAATTTGGATACCTTGCATAATAATCAGTGTGTAAGCTATGTCCTGGCACTTCTGAAAGGCCTGTGAATCATTGCTTATCTTTATATCACTGTGTTTTTATTGCATAACCACACTTGAGGTTTGGGCTTTTGGTGTTCCCTCTGTTTCAGTCTCAATTTCTTCTGCTGTCTTTCTCTCTTTTAATTCAGCCAAGCATGTGTCAACTCCAAGATATTCACTAAAGGCAAGCACAATTTTTGTAGCTGCAAAACTGGAGAAAAGCACAGAAAACAATGATTTTTTTTCCCCCCAGAGAATTTCACAAAGTAGGAATTTCATAAAACATGGATCACAGTGGTTTATGTTTTGTAAATCATTACTACGTAGGTCCTGACCCTGATCACCACCCAACACCCTCTCTTATGGCAGGTTTCAACTCTGGTTGCCCATCAGAACCACTTGAAAGTTTAGAAAAAATCCCAAAGCTCAGAGCACCATGTACACATATATTCTCTGAATTCTGAGGAAAGACTATGATACTCTATTTACTAGACCAATAAATGATAGCAAACACTAGAAAGAAAACTTGTCACACTTAAGTAGAATGTCTGGGAGGAGGCCAAGACCTCAGTAGTTCCTTGGGTGTCTGAAATGTGCACCCCGAGTGGAGAAACACTGCATTTGTTCTGCTTGTTGTTGCACACCATCTGACTCATTGCAACCTTGTCTTGGATTTCTGAGAGGGTCTGGTGGGTGTGAACTGCCCACCTTGTGGTTAGCAGTCCAGTCTTCTCCTATGGAACCACACAAGGGCTCTATTCTGCTTGTTGTTGTTGCTGTTAAGTGCCGTCGAGTCGGTTCTGACCCATAGTGACCCTGTATAGGGTTTCTGAGGAGCAGTTGGTGAGCTTGAACTGCCAACCTTACAGTTCAAATGGCTTTGCAGTCTGGTGCATTAACCCACAGTGCCACATTCTGCTTGTTGTTGTTGTTGTCAGGTGCCATTGAGTTGGAACCAACTCATAGCGACCCCATTCACAGCAGAACGAAACAATGTCCTATCCTGGGCCAACCCCACCACCACTGCCACACTTGATGCCATCAATGATGCCACCTGGCTGATCCATCTCGTTGGGGGTCTTCCTCTTTTTCTCTGACTCTCCACCTTACCCAGCGACTGTTCTCTCCTGACAATATGTCCAAAGTAT